AACCACTGAATCTGAAGTAGCCTGGGGGCCCCCCAGTATACATCCAATCAGATGTAGAGATTTTCATTGAAATGAGAGTAGCATATTTCCTCATGAAAAGAGAGAGAGAGAGAGAGAGAGAGAGAGAGAGAGAGAGAGAGAGAGAGAGAGAGAGAGGACTCTAAGTGTTCCCTGCAAAAATATTCCTTCCGTCCTTGCATTCATTCATTCCAGTAACGAAAAAGAAAGCTTCCTCTGAAAGCAAACATGAGCAACTCCAAGTTTAACGAGGGGAGAAGAGACAGGGCAGGGTGGACCCCAGCTGGAGAAGACTGCTACCTGAAAGGCTCACCCTGCAGGCCTGGCTATTCAGCAGCTTGGCTCAGCGTTTCTGTACACCAAAAAAAGCCGGGAAGAATGAGCGTTTTCTGCTGCATCCACACATTCCTTGATGAGCTGGGTTTTCCTACCTGACCCTTGTGCACTAGTCACTTTCTCTGAGTAACTGCGTCTACTCTCATCTATTTTTACGTTTCAGTGGTGAATTAAAAGTGATACCCCAAAGGTTGACAGAAGCCCCGCCTTCGCTCGTGGGCACATTCACTCCTGGGGAGGGGTGCAGACCCTTGAGAGACTGTCAGCCAGTGAGGTTTTATGATAAATGTCTGTGATTATGCTGATAACAGACTCTCCCACCGAAACTAGACAAGCGAAGGCATTTCCTTTTCAGTGGGGAAAACAGAGAATAAATTGCTTTCCACGAAGCCCGAGGCTGGCATATTAGCATCCTGCTTCTTCCCCCAAGAGTGGAAGTGGGAAAGACGGGGGAAAGAAGATATTAAAGGGGGGAAGCTAAACCGGGGGAGGGGAAAGAAAGAAGAAAAGTCAACTGCTAGAGAGTGAGGCAAAGGCTGTCTCAGCCATGGGTGTCTGGCCATGGAAAATCCTCCAGGAGAGACGGTACTGCCAGGGACCCTCAGGAACCACGGGACCACACTCAACAGGCCTAGGACAGCTCTACTCTGATGGCGGCGTTTAGGATTGCAGAATCATCGTTTTGATCAATCAAACAGCTTTCACAGTCTGCACCTGGGTTATAAAGAGCTGTTTTTATCTGCTCTGGAAAAGAAAGCTTCCCTGTGCTCAGAGCAAGTGCTTTGGTTTCTTCTCCTTTCCTTATATATTTTTTGTACTTTTATGCATGCACATTAATTATATATAATAATGGGTTTTTTACAACATCTTACACATTTTCCCAATGTATATTTTATCATGTTTACCTCACATTACCTTTTCTTGCTCCTCAACCGCCCCTGCTGATCTTCTTTGACCCAGCTCTTTTCATGTTGGTTTTTTTTGGGGGGGTGGGTAGGATGAGATGGGAGGCTTGTTTGCTGGCTTTTGTTTTGGTGACCCACTGCCTTTTGTTAGGGCTTCTTATAAAATCCTGGGTAGGGGATTCCTTATTAGAGCACAGGCTCCCAACAGTGGCTACACCACTGAAAAGAATGTCTCCCCCTCTCCTGCTGGCTATTAACTCCTACAGGGAGGGCAGGACTTTGTGAGCCCTTTCCGCCTAGCCAACATAATCTACCTACAGATATCTACCCAGTCGTCATGGAGTGGCTTGTTCTCCCACCCCTTGCCCCACACGCACCACGGCAGGTTGTCAGCAGGCCCAATCTTGTGCAGGCCTTATGCTAATAATCACAACTTCTGCCGGGCGGTGGTGGTGCATGCCTTTAATCCCAGCACTCGGGAGGCAGAGCCAGGTGGATCTCTGTGAGTTCGAGGCCAGCCTGGGCTACCAAGTGAGTTCCAGGAGAGGCGCAAAGCTACACAGAGAAACCCTGTCTCGAAAAACCAAAAAAAAAAAGAAAAAAAAAATCACAACTTCTACCATGTCCGGCACGCAATGGCTCTGTCATACTTCACCTCTGCTCCATCCTCTGACTCTCACGTTCTCTCCACCCCACCTTCCGCAGTGCTGTCTGGGTCTTGTAAGAGAGTGATACAGACATGTGGCTTATGACTGAGCATTCTGCAGCCCGTTGTTCTCATCGGCTGAGTCTCTGTAATAATTACCACTGCCCCCTGTAAAAGCGAGTTTCTCTGACCAAAGCAGACGGTAGCACTGGTTTATGGGTATAAACACAACTATTCAGAAAACAATTGTGCGAACACATTTCCATTTAGCAAAACAAAAGTAGCAGCTTCCCCAATACAACCTATAACCTCCCCAGCTTCGGGCTTTTCACTAGGCTTACAGAACTGGATGTAGATTCCCTCTGGTGGAGAAGGCCTCAGATGCAATCGGAAAGTGACTGGTAAACCCTCCCTGCCCCCATTCTGATTGACCATTGCTGCCCCAGTAGACACTTCTTACCTGTCACATCCACAGGACAAGTTTGTTATTGTTTTACCACAATCTTTCATGTCCTCATGGTGTCCTTAAGCTGAGTAAGAGCCCAGGCATCAGGTCTACTGCCTCTTAGTGGATACTGAGTTGTCTAATGGCCCTTCTTTGGAAAGCCCTCCTCCTCCATTCCATATGTAATGTAAAGCTAGTGATAAGACTAAAGGGTAGATCTAAAGGATGGTATTAAGACCAAACACTGCCAAAACCAAAACCTCCTCCTGGGCAGTGTGCTTTGTCCAAGGGGTGGGCACAGGGCATAAGTGGGGCTAATCAGAACCCTTCCCTGGATGGATCTTCAGGCCTGAGAAGAATAAAAGCTTGCCTCATGCTAGGATGCCAAGGCAGAGAGAAGATGGGAATTCAGCCACACAGCAGCCTTCTTTACAGCCACATGGAAAAACCAAAACAGCAGCATGAGATGAGAGTCGTGTGTGTGTGTGTGTGTGTGTGTGTGTGTGTGTGTGTGTGTATGTGGGGGGGTTGGGGAGAGGGGGGAGGGAGAGCTAGGGGAAAAGGAAGAGAGAGGGAGGGAGGAAGGGAGGGAGGGAGGGAGGGAGAAAGAGAGAGAGGGGGGAAGAGAGAGAGAGACTAACTGACTAACAACATTATGTCTGACATTGGTTTCCTACAGCTACCACAATGTGAATGGCTTAAAACAGCAGACATCCATTCTCACACAAAGCTAGAGATCGGAACCCCCACATTAGCACGATGTCATTAGGGTTCAGTTCCCTCCAGGAAGAACTTGTCCTTTGTCTGTGCCAGCCATTCCCTGGCGTTTTCTGGCTTGGGGTTGCAACACTCCAGCCTCCATTTTCATCTTCCTGTCCCCTTCTCTGTGTCTCTCTTCTCCTCTTCTATCTGTGCACATTGCTCTGCTCTTCTTTCCGGGTGATGCACATGCGCCGCCTTTAGAGCTGCCCACTTGTTTAATCCTCGTCTGCTCAGGACCTTAATCACTTCTTTGACATGTAAGAACACACTCACTCTTCTGCCATTCTGCCATGTAAGGCAACAGTGTATATTGCAGGGACTTTTTTTTTTTAACCTATCACAAATTTCATTCAGATCTCTGAGATTTTACTTACTTCCAGCAGCTCCTTTAGCCCCCAGGAGCCACCAAGGTTCCTGCCTTTCACCAAGCCAGCAAGTTTCCTTTTGGCTTTGATGAACATGATCTGGGCTCCGTGAGCCAAGTCAAAGATGTCTTAAATCACACAGGTCTGTGTCTGCAGGAGTCTGGGCAGTGGAGGAGGCGCAAAGGGCTGTGGACAGAACCTTGGCTCTTCACTGAGGTGTGAGAAAACTCACTTCCCTTTTCCGGGAGTGTTAGTTCAGAACCCTGACAACTGTTACTTAAAGGATTAGTAAAGGTGTTTATAGTATCTTATTGTCTTAGACACTCTGTAGCAGTATGTGTGGCCTGGTAATCAGCTGCAGTTTTCCTGATTGTGTCAAAATAAAACAAACAAAAAGAACCCCAAAAGTCAAGGGCCAAATCTGGGACCGCAGTTGAGGCTCTGATGATGCCCCTGACTCCACTTCCTGTCTGTGTCTTCAGGCCCTAGCAAAGGAATCCGGTAGATCCAAACTCAGGCATCCAGTACCCAGGTCAATAGCACAGAGGGCCAGCCTTCCTGATGGACAGATACAAGTCTTGGAATTGGGTTTCGTTAGCTCTGTTGACTGACTTCAGTCAGATGCCTGCTCTGAACTCACTGTGGCCAAGGGGATGAAATGTACTGACTGGTTTTCTCCAAGTCTTTCCCTCTAGGGCAGTGGTTCTCAACCTTCCCAATGCTGCGACCCTTTAATGCAGTTGCTCATGGTGTGGTAACCCTCCCCGCAAACCATAGAATTATTTTCATGGCTACTTTATAAGTGTAATTTTACTACTGTTATGGATCGTAATGTAAATATTTTTGGAGACAGATGTTCGCCAAAGGTGTCACGACCCACAGGTTGAGAACGGTTGCTCTAGGGGAAGGTGCAATGTGCAGCTGATGAGTGGCATGGGAATGAAGTGGAATGCTGTTACTTAAGTGCAGTGGAAGCACACAGCATAAAAAGGCCTGGGCGCGTCCTGCATATCTTGACATTTAAAAATCCTACCAGGTCTATCGTAGTTCTATGACTATAATATGAAAATTTATACAACTAACATGTAAAATTTCCCGAAAATAACTTTGAAGTAATTGTATGTGTCTTGAGATACTCTTGACCTCTAGAAACCGACTGCACTAGACACATCAATAAATGTGTAAATGTTGAATAAATATTTTATTTTTCCCCAAGACGCTGATCAAAGAATCTTGTCAGTGATTAGTCAAAATGTCACCATGAGTTTGATTAACTAACCATGAAAATACTGTATTTAAGGAGTCCTTTTGTCCTGCGTGTGAGATTCTGTTTTCTGTAGCCAATGATCTTCAGGCTTCTAGTTATATAACCCCACCAGTAGCTGTGGGCTAATTACAGCACATCCCAGCAGGAAGAGACACAGGAGCTAAAGAGAAATCAATGCACATTTTAAAAAGGTTTTTATGTCCGTGTGTATCTTAGGGTTTCTATTGCTATGCAGAGAAACCATGACCACAGCAACTCTTATAAAGGAGAGCATTTAATTGGGGCTGGCTTACAGTTCAGAGGTTTAGTCCATTGTCATCATGTCTGGAAGCATGGTGACACACAGGCAGACATGGTGCCGGAGAGATCCTTGAGAGTTCTACATCCAGATCAGCAGACAGCAGAAAGAGAAGGAGACACTGAGCGTGGCTTAAGCATCTAAGGCCTCAAATCCCACCCCCAGTGACACACTTCCTCCAACAAAGCCACACCTACTCCAAAAAAGCCACACCTCCTATTAGTGCCACTCCCTATGGGCCTACAGGGCCATTTTCATTCAAACCACCACAGTGTGTATGTGTGAATGTGTGGTACTGGGGACTGAACCGAGTGCCTCATACATGCTACATACAGTCAAAACATTGTTTTAGTTCATTGGAACAACAACAATAATAATAAATTAGGTAAGTGTGATGTCATCATCCCATTTAGAAATATTTGTTGAAGATTTGTAGCCATGCTGCAAGTGTGCTTTTAAGACCAGTTCATTACACATTTGGTTTTTAAAGCCTTCAAAGTGGGAGAGGTGAATTCCTTGCAGTTGCTGGAAGTGCATCTATCCCAAACTCGTAGGTAACTTTTATTATATTTGGATAGGTAATTAAGATTGAGTAAGATCGTAGGGAAGGCTCTAATCTGGTGCCACCGGTACCCTTCCTTATAAGAGGGACAGACAGCAGGCAAAAGGCCACATGAGGACCACTGAGGAGAGGGATGCTGGGCAAGCCTGGGAGTGAGACCTCAGAACAACCAGCCCACCCGGATTCCTGGACTTCTAGCTTCAGAATGGTGAGAAATAAATTTAGGTGGCTGACGCCACCTCCTTACACAGTTTCCTGTTGTGGTAACCTTCCAGGATGAATACACTCACAAACTCACAGATCTGAGTGAAGACACGTCCCCTCTGTTTACTCCCCAAACTCAGATATTCAGTTCTCCGCCCTAGGAATCAGTCTTGCAAAGGTTTTTTGTGGAAATTTGGTGAGTAAATTTCCCTATAAACCATTCATTTTCCAATTTAAATAAAAGTCATTGCATTTTTATATTTTTTGTCAAAAGGATAAACAGGCTACTGGGATGCTTAGAAGATTATGCCAGAGTTTTAAAACAAATATGCATCTGTGAAAGTCTTAATTTGGACAAAAATCACTTAATTATAAGATACATCCAAGAATCCAATTTCAAAATATTTCTCCATAACATATTTCTTTCCAAAAGTGACTGCTCTTTAGCAGTCCTTATTAGCATTGTTCTCTATCCTAAAATGATGGATTGTGTGCGGGTTTGTTTTAATCTGATAGGGAGTACCATGCTGACACATAAATAAACAATAACAAATTGGGAACCGCTGTCTTTTTGTCAAATAAAGATGCAAATTTTCAAGTTTCACAGCATCTCAAGTCTCTGTCCCAAGATCATCTGGGAGCATCAATACGAATAAAATATTTCCAGTCACTTCTCATGTCATTACTAAGTATGACAAATACTTTGCCGTGTGGTGGTGTATGAAATCTGTCACATTAACCGTATCAGTGGCTTTTGTCCCATGCTGCACAGCTCCAGCCTTGGGGTCCTTGCTGTAGTCCCTTCTCTTTGAATAGTACAGCGAAGGTGTCAGGGTTGAGCCTGGCCACAGCCCCTGCCTGGAAGCCTCTCCTGTGTGGCTCTATTCTCATAGCTCCTGTAGAAATACTGTTTCCATTAAAGGTGCAGTGCCTTATTAAGAATACATTATCCTGCGACTGCTTTCCTTAATTGCTCATCAGATAGCAATTCTTTGCAGATTTCACTACTGAACCTGGAGGTAACCAGTGCGATAATCTCAGGAACACTTGAGACAGTTGTGTTTTTATTTACTTTACATCAAATCTCCCACAAGGCGAAATTTGTTGTAGTATTTGTTGTCGCTGTTTTCCTTTATTTTTGTCTGTCTACAGCAATTCATATACAGTCATCCCTCGTTATCCTGGAAACGTGTTTCCAGGGTCCCTCCGAAGTGTCCAGAATCCATAGATAATCAGTTATATAAAATGGCGCAGTGTTTACATGTATATCCTCTTTTATAATTTCCCATATACTTTAAATCATATCTATATTGCTTACAGTACCCAATAAAATATAAACACTGCAACTAGCCATTAGGCCTCATTGTTTAGGGAACAATGACAAGGTTGAGAAGTTGCAACATGTTCGTTACCAGTGCAAACATTTTCCTGAATATTTCTGTTAGTGATTAGTGGAATCTGTTTCTATAAAACCTAGAGGCATGGGAGACCAACTATCCCACTCATGCGTGAGGACCAAAGAATGCATTTTATCTTCTTATCATATTGTTCTTCATTTAATTAATATTTCTACTCTACTTCTGTGTGTATGTGCACGTGTGTAGGTGTACATGAGTGTGAGTGTGCATGCATGTGTGTGTGAGTGCATGTGAAAGTCAGAGAACAGCCTCAGATGACATTCTTCAGACACTGTCCACTTTGTGCATTGGCCTGAAATTCATCCAGTTCTCCTCTCCTTCTCCTTTTCTTGCTCCCTGATCTTTCTTCCTAAATTTCTCCTCCTACTTATTCTCTCTGCCTGCCAGCCCCGCCTATCCTTTCTCCTGCCTCACTATTGGCCATTCACCTCTTTATTAGACCAATCAGGTGTTTTAGACAGGCACAGTAACACAGCTTCACAGAATTAAACAAATGCATCATAAAGGAATGCAACACATCTTTGCATCATTAAACAAATGTTCCACAGCATGAACAAATGTAACACATCTTCAACTAACATTCTACAACAAGTGAGACTCTGGAAAGAAAGAGAGAGAGAGAAGAGAGAGAGAGAGAGAGAGAGAGAGAGAGAGAGAGAGAGAGAGAGAGAGAGAGAGAAGGGGAGAAGAAGAGATGGAGGGAGGAAGAGAAAAATAGAACAAGGAATGCTCCTTGGACTGTAGAAGCATGTCTTAAGACTTCTATGACATCTCCAGAAAAAGGCTAACACCCTCCCCTCCATGAGACCACTACAGGTCAGCTTATCACCCTGCAGACTGCAGTTCTCAGGACCACCCTGTAAAACCCAGGAAAGAAACAGAGGCTGAAGGTAGAAACAAAGGATGTAATACATCATCAGTCCTTGGGGACATGTTTGAACTCCTAGGTGAAGACTTGCCTAAATCCAGCCGTTATCCTGGGACTTCTCTGCTACACAGGTCACTAAATTGGCTTCTTCAGAAAAGCCACTTAAGTATCTGTCACTCACAGTGAAAAATGTCCCTCACCAGACACAGCTGTCAACTTCCTCTTATAGTTTGTTTTGCTGTTATTTTTATTTCTTTTTGGCTCTGCTTGGTTGTTTATTTATACTCTGAATCAAGAACAATCATGTCCTAAGTATTAAACAGAGAATAATAATGTACAATAAATACCAAATTGCAAAGCTATCTAACCTTGGGAAAATATCTGAATTTTTCTGATGTTCAGTTTTCCTATAGGAAGATAGAAGTCACTTTTCAAAAGCCTTCAAGTTTACTGTAACAGTGAACTAAAAATATGGCACGTCGGATACTTTCATTTACCTGGCACATAGTACCGGGTACAATTTAGATGCAAGGCAGATCAATGAAGTAATAATGGCTACCGTTTATAGATGGCTACTATCTCTCTGCCAGGCACTTTTTATAACCTTCCACTTGAAATTTCACAAGCCCCTAAAGGGCATTATCACCGTCATTCGTCAGATGCCGGAACCTAGGATGGGACGGAGCAAAGGTTAGCAGCTATACCAGGATAGAAAGCCAGGTTGGTTTGACTTCAAACTCAAGTACTTTCTGCCACCCCAATCTGTCGTCAAGAAAGGTTCGAGAGATGCAGTGAAACTCACTTTGGGTTCTGAAAACAATAAAGCAAATTTCAGTAGAGGAAGGGCGTTGCCAGTTTAGAAGGGAACAAAGCATTGTTAATTATTAGAGGACAGTAGCAAAACCTAGTACCTCCGAGCTCCCTCCTTCAACCCCAGCACGATGACAGGCAGGGGAGACGTGGGGGTCATCTGCTTCCTACTCATCTTGTTCCATCAATATCTGACTGGTGTGCGTCAAAGAACGCGTCACTCTCCTCTTGTTCGGCTTTCCTTTCTGTTGCTGCCATAAAACACCAGACCAAGAGAAACTTAGGGGAGAGTTTATTTCATCTTAGAGGTCTCAGTCCATCACTGAGGGAAGTCACGGCAGAAGGAACCCCCAGCAGGAACCTGAGGCAGAAACCACGGAGGAATGCTACTTGCTGGCTTGCTTGCAGGTCATACATAGCTAGCTTTCTTCTACAACCCAGGACCACATGCCCAAAGAACGGTGCTGCCCAAGTGGGCTAGGTCCTGCAATATCAATTTATTAATGAAGACAGTGTCTCCACAGACACCGGTCCATCTAAGCTAGGCAGTTCTCTCTTAGGTAACTTCAGGCTGTCAAGTCAATAGTCAGGGTGAAGTAGGACATCCCTCTTAGAGAATTGCAAGTGGTTTTTGGTTTTGGTTTGTTTTTGCTTTCCCGTGCTGCTGATTGTACGCAAGCAGGTTTTCCAACTCTCCCTGTTCCTGTGGAGTTTGTTCAGTTCTGGGGTTCTGCACTAGCAGACCCATTGCCCTGTCAGCTCTAGAGCCGCGGCCAACATTCCAGTTTGACCAGGAACAACAGAGTTCACATCTTGGTTTCCATCCATGTAACAACTATCTCAGTGTGAAATTTAGGCATGATTTTGAAACCTCCTAAAAATTCAGCAGTAGGTATTGGTAGAAGACAAATTCGACAAGTTCAGAGGACACCATGAAACCTGGTGTGATGTGAGCAGTGGGGTGTGTGGTGAAGAGGGTGAAGACAGATAAGGTTAGGCACACGGAGTAACAGGAGTGCTCACAAGGAAGGCAGAAAGTCTGGATTTGATGTGGAAGAAGAACGTGGATGAAATTTCTCAGTAGATGAAGACATGAAACCTGAGTGTCTCAACCCCAGAGTGAAAGAAAATGGCAATTTTTTTTTTCAGTGCAGACAAGAATGAGTATGCCTGGAGTCAGTGTTTTTTTTTTTTTTTTTTTTTTCAGTGCAGACAAGAATGAGTATGCCTGGAGTCAATCCGCTATCAGAGGCAGCTTCTTGAATTTCTGAGCGAGGAAGGAGAGGCTGCGATAGGGAAGCAGACATGTGCACAGGATTGCAGGCCGCATAGGAGATCTCTGCGGGAAACCGATCAGGTTATGGTGACAGACCTGGTACCGGAAAAGCACAGGGGTTTTGGAGGCAAGCTCTGAAAGAAGTAATGACTGGAACCCCTGAACTGGGGGAAAGTGGGGCACAGCCTCCCGGTGTTGGGTCTGAAGTGTCACACATAGATTTATTCCTGGTCACCAGAGACAGGGAAGTGAAGGCAGGAAATAAATTCTTAACATAGGGGGTCAGCACCCTTAGAGAGGCGTCACACCTTTGAAGACCGCTATGGGATGAGTAAATATGGAAAAAATTACCAGAAATGGCAAGGGTACTAACAGGAACACTGGTAAGGAGTGGATGGAGGAGAGGGGACCACGTTCCTGGGTTAGAGGGAAGGGTATAAAAAGGTTGCACTCAGGCTCTTAGCAGAGCAGGGCAGTGATGCCCTCTATCCAGTACAACCACAGTTGAATGCAAAGTAGCCTTCTGCTCACCAGCCCTTCTCGAGCTCCAGTGCCCACTTCCTTCTGCTTAGGCTGTAGTAACACCCTCGCATCCTCTGCTCTCTCTATCCCTTTCACAGATGGGGGTGGCTCTGGGATGCTTAGGTTCGAGTACCAGCCCCGGAAAGGGCTCCCACTGTGCTGTCCACCAGGTTGGCTCTGCAGCCCGCAGCTAGTTCCTGGTGTCACCCGGACTGCCGCAGGCCAGCGCCCCTCCCGGGGATGGGGTTTCCGCGGTTTCCCCCGCCTTTGTTGCAGGGTCCCCCACGGAGACATGGACACCTCATGCCTTCTCTTGAGATGCCTGAGGATCCTCGGTGAGGGTCGGGAGAGGGCAGGGATGCCCGCGGTGCTCGGAAGCTCCTGGGCTCCGGGCGGGGGCCGGGAGGAGGGAGCGCCGCTCGCGGGGGCTGCGCTGCAGAAGGGGAGGAGAATGGGGAGGAGCTGGGGGGCCGGCGGGCGGGGAAGGAGGGGTCTTAAGGGGCGGCGAGCCCAGGTCGGACTTCCTCGGAGCCTGGCGATCAGCGAAGATCCCATCTTCGACTCCAGCTCTCTGCCCTAGCCCGCGCCCTCCGGAGCCCCGGACCCGAGCACGGTGAGCGCGGCGGCGAGGAGGCTGGGAGGAGGGGACGAGTCTGCGGGACCCGAGGAAGTTTCCAGGGTCCGCGCGGGGCCCAGAGCCTTCAGTCTCACCCCCCCTTCTCTCTTCCGCAGATGTGGAAACGCTGGCTGGCGCTAGCGCTGGTGGCCGTCGCCCTGGTCCACGGCGAGGTAGGTGACCGGTCTCTGGGGTTTGCGCGCCCGGCGGCCCGGCGTGCGCCCCTGGGATGCTCTCTGGGGGTGGGGCTGGGGTCCCCATCCTTGCGGTAGAGTGGGAGTCTGGGGCGCTCCGAGCAGAAATTCTACTGAACAAACTTCCATCTCAATTCTGAAGTAGTTTGGGCCATTGAGCTGGAGCCCCACCACGCCTAATATGGAGGGAAGCTGGGGAGTGGGGAGAGGGCACGGGCTGGGCGGATAGGAGCAGAGGCGGCGGCCAGAGCTGCAGCGGAGTTCAAAAAGGCGCCTTGAGTTCTTCTGTTCACTTCAGAGGAAACAGCGAACAGTTACGGACTTTTCCTCTCCAAGTCTTTCCTGGTGGGGGAGGATTCAAAAGATTTTTAATAGCAAAATGAAATTTTTTTTTCTCTTTTATAGAGTGAACTGTGATTCCCCAAAATGCGTTTTCTTCTTTGTAAAATGTCCTGGATTTTGTTTGTTTTGTTATTTTCTGGCCTCCATAAGTGCCTTTTACAGTCCAAATTTTCCCTTAAACTCAGTTGAGCAAGTGTGAGAATCTGCGGCTCTGCCTTTGGGGGCCTCTGGTTTCCAGTTAAAACATGCAGCAGCTCTTTCTCTTTCTCTTTCTTTCTTTCTTTCTTTCTTTCTTTCTTTCTTTCTTTCTTTCTTTCTTTCTTTCTTCCTTCCTTCCTTCCTTCCTTTCTTCCTTTCTTCCTTCCTTTCTTTCTTTCTTTCTTCCTTCCTTCCTTCCTTCCTTTCTTCCTTTCTTCCTTCCTTTCTTTCTTTCTTTCTTTCTTTCTTTCTCTCCCCCCCCCCCCACACCAATGTTTTCTTTTCAACTCCAGTGACCCTCCTGGGGCACTACAAACAAACCAACAAACCCCTACGCTCACAAGCCCCTCCATTAACTCAAAGGTTTATGGACAGAAAATAAACAATTCTAAATTCCCCGGGCTCCAGTCTCCAGAAAAAGTGAGGTCAGAAACTAAACATTTGATAATTACGGCAGGAAATGTGGAAGGAATTACAAAGCATGAGAAAGAAGAAATGGAATGCACATTACAAAAGAAATCGCTCCCTGGTGGGTGGTTTACAGCCCCTTTTTGAGTTTTCCTTTCATATTACAGTTTAGCCCCACCCTTTACATCACAGCATGAGTCTGCCCCAGAATTCATAAATGCATACAGTCTTCTTACTTAAAAAAAAAAAAGAGAAAAAGAAAAAGCACACACTGTACTAATGTCTCCTTTCATTCGCTGCATCATTGATTGAGGTAGAAACAAGCTCCCCCAGTGAAATAAAAGCAGCAAGTATTTATTAGGTAGCTATCACTTGTGATAAAATTCTACTTTTAATCATAGAGAAACTGAGCCAGAGAAGTTTATGTAACTTATCAAATACCTTCAGTTATAATAGTGGGGGCAAGATGGAAACCAAAACCTTCTAGCTCCAGACCCCCGACTCTTAATCACTGCCTGGCCCCACTTGCGAGCAAGCATGAAGGCTTAGAACTTTGCCAAGTATTTTGACACCAGAGGTTGACTGCTTGTATCACTTGTATCATTTCTTTTAAAGCCCTTCCAACCCTGTGAGTGGGCTTTGTTAGTTCCATCTTGCAGAGCAGGGAACAAAGTTAAGGCAACTAGTTAAATTGTCCACGTTCGTATAACTGGTGAGTCCTGCAAGTAAATCAGTGTGTGCCCAGCTCCCTCTACCCGCAAACCCTCTCTGAGCCCCAGCCTACTCGGCATCCATTTTTTCTTCAGAGTTTGAGTGGAGGAAGTAGCCCCGATGTTTAGCCCTGGTTAAAGACTACTCCTCCATCCCTGTTATGGCCCACAGGATGCCTGCCTCTAATCCCAGCACTTGGGAGGCAGAGGCAGGTGGATATCTGAGAGGCCAGCCTGGTCTACATAGTGAATTCTCCAGTACAGCCGGAGCTACATAGTGAGACCCTGTCTCCAATAATAATAATAGTAATGATAAAATAAAGAAGACAGCTGCTGTTCTGTGATAGATGAGGTGAATCCCTGGTTGGTTTCACCGCCAGTTTAAGACTCGCCAACTAGTTCATGAAATGAGAGTCGTCTTTGCAGAGGTAAGGGGTGCAGGCATGGTGACTCATTAGCACAAGGCTGTGTGTCCCCAGGTCTGTGACCTGTCCCAGGTAACCTGCACTTCACGCTGGCTTCCTCATCCCACTGCACCGCAGGGGAAAGCTCACCCCAGGTAGTAAGGCCCTCAGCTGCAGTTTCCTGCTGGAGCTCTATGGAAGAACATCCAGTATTCAGTTCCCAGGCAAAACCTGCAGGGGTAGAGGTGGAGGGGGGCAGCAGAGGGAAGTGCTGAGGCATGAAAACTGAGGGAGCTGGTGCAGAAAAGAGACTGTGAAGTCAGGACACACGCACCATGGAGAGGGATCTCAGACATGAGCCCCGGCCACGCTGTATTTCAAGACCTCACTTTATGAAGGATTATGATCTTATAATCAACTCAGCCTTTATTGCCTGACCTTTCAGGTAACTCTTGGCAAGTTTTAATGCACGTGTTAAATCCTGCATCTTTAATCATGGCTGAAAAAGTAAATTAACCCTCTCTATGGGAGACGTGACTTGGCATACATTTTAAACACTGTATTTGCAGTTAATGATACTTGCAGTTGAATTTTTTTCCCCCTTGTTAACCATAAGAACATTCAGCAAACACTCAAATACGGTATTTCTGGTCTTTTGGCATGAGTCCATTTTAGTAAAATGTAGATCTGCTGCAGTTGTGCAGATATGGTTGGACTCTCAAAACATGAAACATAGACAATAAAGGGAACTTTCTTGGTGCTTTTTGCTGGAATAATCAAACCCAAGGTTTTAATTCACTTTTTTTTTAAAAAAATGGTGATGGTTTTACAACTCCTGTTGGTTTTTTGAAAAACCCAAAGCCTTGGGAGTCACCTTTCAGAATCAGAGCTGTTCCTTCTCGGGGAAGGGTGGCTAGTATGATCTTAACGCTAGTGTGTAAATCTGTTTGGTTACGTTTGAAAAACTATTCGCAAAATCTCAGTAAGGGAGATTTGTTTTTGGTATTTTCGGCGGTGTCACACCTGGCACCTCAGCACAGTGACATTGTGGTTGTTCCCTCCCTCCCTCCCTCTTCACTGCCACCACTTTACCACCAGGGTATTCCTTCAGCCAGCCTCCATCAGAATTCTGCCACACACACACACACACACACACACACACACACACACACACACACACGGGTTCTTCAGAGCACTGCACGTCTCTAGCTACACAGGACTTAGGCTGGGGTGGGGCCTTCAGCAGAGAGGGGGGCTTCCACCAATGGTCACACCCACCTGCTCTTTCTTTCCAGGCCCCTCCCACCGAGAATAACCACAGTTCCTTGGGAAGCTTTGGTAATGCAATAGAGGGGTGACAGAGAGGACTCCAGGCAGCAGTTTGTGGGCCTCTGGAGTCAGTGAGTGTAATTCAGTTCCTCTGACATGACAGGGGACACATAGCTCAACTACCTGCTTCAGGAGGACTGTCTTAGGAAGTGTCCAAATGCCCCTCTGGATACTGGCTTATTTTTGCTGTGGTTCCTGGCATTCAAGGTCTAGAAACTCATTATTTTAAATCACATATTCAAGGAACAGGTTTACAGAGGAGATCACTCATTCCAGCAGAGGATCCACACTTGAGCTGTGAGCTGGGAATGCGTCTCTTGAGACTGGTGTAGAGAAGCAATAACAGTTCTACCAACAGATGCCCTGTGCTTAGCTGTAGGCATCCCACACCAGCAGACTGTCGGGGCTTTGTCCCTGGGAAGCCACACTGCTTAATGTCATTTACACCTCCCCACCTGCATGTAGTTAAGCACTAGGGCAGTGTCTGCCGGGCTGGGAAGGGTTGGGAACGCCTCTGCATTCTATAGAACCTCTTCTTGAGCCTACAGTGCAACCCACACCCCCCAAATGCTTGCAGGTCCTGAGCACTTGCGGCTTGCACATCAGCCACCGAAACGATCTCCTGTTTATCCTGTAGCAAATAAACTACTTGCCGTGATTCTGAAGGCACTGTTGGGAATTGAGAAGTTAAAGCACAGCAGGGACACCGCTGAATAGCCAAAACAGATGGGCAAGCGCCTGGCAGATGGAGGCACTGCGCGGCTGCCAATGTCTTCAGAAGGTGGACCTGTTACAGTTCCTGTCCTAGTGAGTAGGGTGACAGGAAGCTCGTGCAAGCAAGTTGAAGAGCTGTCATAGGAAGAGGCTTGGGACTATGGCTGAGGCGGATATAAGGACCCCAGAAGTATATCCCAAAGAACTGGGCAGCTAGGCAGAAGTACAGGCCTGGGCAGGAAGAAAAAGTGAGCGATAAGCTTGTAAATACCCAGGGCCACATTGGTAGACTGGAAATGTGAGAGTTTCTTTTTCTTTCTCCTCTTCAAATAGCTGGACATCCAGGTTCATTTTATTGGCTTCATAATATCAGATATCATATTATTAAGAAAAAATGTAATATGTGCATTTTGTAAGTCAGGTGGTGAGTGACCTTGAAAGTGAAATGCGTACCTCTTCCCCGGTTGCCCAATTCCAAACCCCGTGGCTTTGGCAAGGGTGCTTTCTCCAAGAATGATCCGTAGGCGGCCCAGGGCTTCTCTTCACTATCTCCGTCAGACGTAGCATTGTCTGGTTCAGGACAAGCTCGCCCTGCACATGTGTATGGAGCAGAATCTAGATTGATGTGCAAGGCTTGGTCTCTGCCCTCCAGTTCCTTAAGGTCTACTGGCAGGCCAGGAGCTTTAAGTGCTAACAGATAAAATGTAGGTTAGAATAGCATTATCAGCAAGTGATTTCAAGGACAGCCTGGTCAACACAGAGAGTTCTAGGCCAGCCAGACCTACATGGTAAGACCCTGTCTCAAAAAAAATTATCCTTTTTAAAAAGATTTATTTATTTTATGTGTATGAATGTTCTGCATGTATGTATGTCT